ACAACAGTAGCCATTCACCGTTCGTGTCACGCTTTCATCCAGGAAACTTTTTGATATTAATGAACAAAAGCAGACAGAGCACCTATCACAGGTGAAATGGAAATTGTCCAGGCAGTGTTATAAACTCTGTGTGTAGATACTATTGGACTTCCTGCTTTTGCTGTTGGTATTGAAGAAGGTTTTTTTTTTCCTCAGCAGCAGGTTTGAGCCATTTGCTTCTGAGTCCCTTTCCTCAGTCAGGTGCTAGTACAGGATGTCCCGAGTTGCAGGAAAATTATACGTTGCATTTCTGCTTCTCCTTGGACATGAACGTCTTGGAATAGCCTATTGCAAATGTTGTCTTTGGTAAAAAGCCAAAATAAAAATTATAAAAAGTGTAGCTGAAAAATAAACTTCAAAAATGTTCTTGGAGCAACTGAAATTTTTCAAGACCCATTTTGGATATTCATATCTTAAATGAACTTGGTGTAGGTATGGTTTGGGCCAAGTTTACAAAGCATCATTATGGATTTCTTGTATCTCAATTCTCTGAATCTTTTCTGGGCTGTTCCTCCTAATTCCAGCAGTGCAGTGATATAGCACAACTTACTGCTTTTTTAAAAAAAGTATAACCTATATTTAGCATTGCTCCCTAATTCAAACCTTCTTCTGAACCTAATGAAAGATTTAAATCTGGAAGCTCTTTAGCTTTTAGCACATGAATTTGCCTACAAATAAAAATGTCAGCAAAACATTTATTTTCACTTTGATTCTGCTTGTATGTTTATGTATATTTGATGTTGTTGGTATATATATGCATTTGTGTATATACGTATACTTGTTATTGAATGGGCATGAGAATAAACTGTGCTTCATAATGGCATGGATATGAAAGCATATGTGATCATGTTAAGGATTCAGACAAGAAAAACACTATTGTGGACGGTCATAATCTGTGATAAGACCAAATACACAGGCCCAATTTGCTCAGCACTTGGCTGCATTGCCTAGGAGATGGTTCCTTCCCTCTACATCCATTTAAAAGGGCTGACTTTTCTGAAATTCAAACCCTCAAAATCAGTAGTCCATTAAAAATGTTGAAATGGGTTCTAGGAAATACATTGACTGTGACTGGCATCTTTGCACGAGAAAGATGCAGGATATTGTCCACAATTTTTTCTTTAAAATCTGTTATGCAGGCAAGGCAGGATGGCCTGTTATTGAAAGGGCTCGGAATCCTTTGTGTGCCCTGGCTCAGTCTGCGCCCTTCCCCTAGTACATCATGCTTGTGCTGTTTAGGTACTGTCTGTTTAGGTGCGCTAGCTTCGGTATTGTTTAAAGTATTTGTTGTTCTGTATTTCTTGGATATTTAAAACATGAGTGAGGGATCAAAGGCAATAATCTTTTTTCCACTGTCTGCAGGGTGTTGGGTGAGTTATTGTCCTCTGAACAATAGAGCAAATGTTTAAATATTACGGTGGTCTCCTCCCCGCCAAGTACAGAGCATTGCATTGCCTGTGGTGTGTCAGCAAGCCTGGCGCTGCACCCAAGACTCTTTTTTCAGGCCCACGGCCAATGCTTTCAAAATGCTGCAGTTGCAATAAGCTTAGGATTCCTGCTCCGCAGGAAAAACAAACCAACCTCCTTCTGAAGTCATGGGACATAGGCCGAGTAAAGCTGAAAGAAGCAATTCCCGAATTGCTCTTTGCAGCACAAAGAGCCGCCCGCACAGGGGATGTGGAAGGGGAAGAGGTTTTTGGGGGCTAAGAACTGCGGAGCCCGCAAATATCTTGGATCCGACTTCTGCGAAAACCATCTATTGTCTTAATCTATTGTCTGCTGGAGCCAGCCCTTAAGGCGTTGCTCTGAGCAGGCTCTGCCCTCGTGTGGCTGCGAAGCTCTTGAAGGGGGAAAGGGATGGAGCCAGTTGGGCCACCCCATCTAGCAGAGCAGAAGCCCATGCCAGGACCAAGCTGCTTTTGCAATCTAGCCAATGTGTCCCCTGGCCGGTATACGGAGGTGTTTGCCGCTGTAGGGGCTTGTCCGTAAGCAGACACTCTGCTTTAGTACTCGTTTAAATGAAACTTAAACTGGTGGGGCTGGTGGTGGTAAAAGCACTGTGAGCAAAATCTCATTTCTTTGACCTGTTCTTTGTAGGTGTCATCTACACAAATGCAAGAGAACTTCAGACAGCATTTATTCTTTGTCAGATAATAAAACAAAGTAACCTAGAGGGGACTTGGATATTATTTTCTAGTTCCTTTTTCTTTCTGAGGCATATACTGTAAATTCTAGCACGTATCTAAAGGTAAATTTCCATTTAATCTCTGCTTGCTACAGTGAGACCCTACCCAAACTGTTGCAAGGCATGAGATTTGTTCACTTTTCTTTGGATTTTTCTTGCATAATTTCCATAACTGGCACCCTATCTTGGGTATTTTTATGAAGCTGTGTTTTGAGCTTCCTTTTGACTCTGTACAGGTATAAACGACTGGAAAGAAAATAAAGTGAGGGTCTTGTCTAGAACACCTGCAAAACTTACAGGCTTCCTTGTGAGTTTGTGGCATTATTAAAGAACTAATAAGGACTAAAGGGGCAAGTTTTGGGGTTTTTTGGTTGGTTGGTTGGGGGTTTTTTTCTTAGTAAGACTGACATGTCATGAAAAAGTAGGAAATGTGCACAACAATCTGGTTATCAGTTCAGTGGTGAATCAGCTCCAAATTATCTCTGATTGTGTGTACCTTTGAAAAAACAAAGTGTGCTTTAGAAACTTGCAGTCACCATCTCGCTGGATGTCTCCCTGATCTTACTCCCATTTAGAAGATGAGCACAGGGCTCTTTCTCAAATCCAGACCATGTTTGCTAGGGGCAACAAGAACCAGAACAAGTCTCCTAAAAACAGTCTGTCCAAGCCAGAGAGGAATGAAAATGATGCTTGTTAGAATCCCTCAAAAGGGATTTATAATCCTGGTCAAGGCTTTTAATGTAAAACTACATTTGAAAATGTAGAATACCCTGTGAGGTGTGCACAAAACCTCAGTGCTCTGCTGGCACAGGACTTTGAAAATGTTGCAAATGTTATGTGAATGCTTACTAGCATGGTGCTTAGATTAAACTTATTGATCACTCATTTAGTGAGCGTCGGTGTTAATGAAGGCAGCCCGCAGCAATGTGGGCTGTAGGAGAAAGCAGGCATTCATCTTAGGCAGAATGTATAATTGTATTTGGCAGATGGAGCTTTGAGACTAGTGCATCCAGTGATAAGCTGGATTACTTTTCCGTTTAAAGAAAACAGCTAATGTGGCTGAAAAGGAGCTTTTACTCTCATCAGTTCATGCAGAGATCTGTGCAGGGGAGGAGAGCTTAATCCTTTGCAAGACTTCACCTGTCTTAAAATTCCAAGTGTTTTGTATATGTGCGTGCACATAGTAGATGATACCTTTCATAGAATTGCTTGGCAAGTATCGATTAAATATCAGAAGCTCAGGAGCTGAGGGATGGTCATGCTAACAACTCAGAGGCAGATCTGAGAATGGGAGCAGGAGCAGAATGAATTTTCTAAAACCAGAGTTGGTCCTGAAGCAACAGAAAAAGCTGAGGAAGAGCCATGTTGGACTTAATTTTTCCTGGTTTTGGGTTTTTTTTCTTCATTTAAAGGTAAAGGGAAGGTTTAAGATCCACTGTTTAAATACAAGTATAGGAACACATTCAACCTATGTAACTAGAGCTGCTTATGCTCTTGCCACTAATCTTGCTATGTAATCACAGGATTGTGTGTTCAATCACACATGTGACTCCCTGGTGCTGCCAACTCTCCTGGTTTTCATCGGTTTCACGGTAATTAGTCCAAGAAGCAAGACATTTCATCTCACTTCAGAGAGGGCAAAACCAAACCAGTTTTAGGCTCTCTTCTTGCACAGAAAAACTTAAGAACAACCCAACTGCGCTCTGAAGATTCATACGCAAAAGGCAGATGGTATTTGTGCCCCAGAAATCCCCATGGAAACTTGGTTGGAAAATTTTTTATTTGGTGTCATAGCAGACCTGGGGGTGTCCCTGATCTAAGTGCCTGTAATTTTCCACACCTCTAATCTTTTGGGTCAATTTTAATTGAGTTTGAACTTAACCATGGTGAGTCCACGTGTTATCAAAAGTTAGAGATGGGCAAAGCCAAGAACCTACCCCTGATTTTGTTCAGTTTTAGTAAGGATGCAGTATAGAAAGAAACTCGGAAAGAAATTGCGAGTTTCGCAGTGACTGACGCAGTGCTGGTTGAACATCGTGTTTCTCTGCGGCGCACCGTCTCCTGGACCAGGTTTTAGGCAGTTAACATGCGTTTGGGGTTTTACTGGTAACATTTAAAAGGCTCTGCTTCCCTCTAGTGGTTCAGCTTGGCAATTTCGTCTTGTCCCCCCCCCTTTTTTTTAATCCTGACAAACCCCTTTTGACAAGTTATGATTTTTATTTTTTTTTTGACGTTGCTATTCAAAGACACTTCACTAGCCTACTTGTACCGTGCCTTTCTTAAGGTTAGCCCTCTTGTTCCCAGGCTGGTCTCTTATTTCCAGTGCTGAAATGCACACAGCAAACATCATCTAGCGTTAGGAAAGAGACTCCAAGCCTTGCCGGACTGACACAGGAATAAAGGGATGGGTTCTGAAGGTCTTCTGGGTGGAAATACTGCTCATGAATTAAGGTAGTAAAAGGTGAAGGCAAAACCAAGGAGATTATCTGAAATTTTGCGTGCATAGAGGATGTGGTGTAACTTTGGTATTGACAGCCCTGGAGTGTGAAGCCATCTGTTCTTCGTGCTTAAATATTAGTGTGAAACTAACTACCTACGTATGTATAGATGTCCCTTTTAATCAGCTGCAATCTGTCCAGGAAGCCAAGCTGTTGGGTTTTCTTTGATGCTGTGAAGCAAATGAGGAAGAATCCAGGGAAATCTAAGCTAGCAACGCTTTTCAGTGCAGAGATGCATCCTTAATCCTGGCCTCTGACCACCGGCATCTGTCTTTCAGCTTCCTGTTCTGTTTGGCTGTCTGAGGCTCAGACTGAATTTAAGAGAGTAGCTGAAGAAAACGTGACTTTGCCCTGTCATCACCGCCTGGGCCTCCTGGAGCAAGGGAGCCTGGATATTGAGTGGCTGCTGCACATTTCCGAAACAGTGCAAAAAGCGGTAGGTTGAGCCACAATTAGTATCTGCTGAGAAAATCGTCTTATTTCTATGTTGACATCAGCAGCAGCCATTGATTTAAAAAGACTTCTGTGATGATCTTTGCAAGTTATTCTGATGAAGTAAGCAGTGTTTAGAAAACAGCTGATTTGTTTAGAGAGATTTATAATGTGTAAAACTTATTTGATATTCACGCATGCTGTATTGGAACAGGTTGTGTTACAATCGAGTTTTCTTTAAACTAACACTGTTATGTAATCATTATTGGACAAACTTCAGAACTGCCCTTCAGGTTTTCAAAAATGACCTTCGATTTTGCAGGCCCAGTTTTTGAAACCTTGGTTTCACGTAAAAATATAGTAGTTTAATACTTATAAAATCAGCTCTGCAGTAGCTTAAATTACCTAGCCAAAACCCACCAAAATTAAGGACTGCTTTTATATATTGTGGCATAAGCTGATGTCTATTTTGACACTAGTATAAATGCTCCAATATACATCTCTAGCACAAATACAGTTTTATGTATTAGTTTCAGACTTGAAATGCAGGTTTAATTTTCTACCCTGGCACAGGCTTCCTGCGTGACCCTTGGCAAGTCACTTAACCATGCAGAACCTTACTCTGCAGTTCCTGGAAATGCTTTGATTTGTTGTTCCGTGTGAAAGTAAATTTACAGCTGGCTGACCAGTGACTGTCTGCTCCTCAGGTGATCACTTACTCTGGAGGACGTGTTTATGATGACCTGAATGAAGAACAGAAGGGGCGTGTTTCCTTCACATCCAACTTCCTTGCTGGAGATGCATCCTTACAAATCATATCACTGCAGTCCAGCGATGCAGGGAAGTACATATGTAAGGTTAAAAATGCTGGGCAGTACGAATGGGCTCGCATCACCCTGAAGGTTGTAGGTAAGGTCATTTTATTGTTCTTCCAAGGAAAAAAAAATTGCTAGACTCATTTCCTGGAGAGAGATTTATTTCAGCAGGGTATAAATACAAAGACATTTCACGATCAGGTTTCACTGTCCAGTTCCGTATCTGCCTTTGCATTTTTTGGCAAAGGCCAGGACGCAGGAAGAGCCTAAAGAACTGTTTTGAGGTAAGTATGATGACCTGCAAAATCATATGAACTGTTCTTTCCAAATTATCTCTATGATCTCATCACACAAACTATACTGATATTCTAGCTTAGTTGGCGATCGCCCTGTCCAGATCTCCAGCTGAGGACTCTGGGTTCATGTCCCAGGACCCCAAACTGATCCAAGTCAGTGGAAGTGACAAATAAGCTGCCGGGGTTAGCATTTCTCTTCCCTGATTTCAGTTTATTGGTTGGCTTTTCCATGTACACTGTCATCCTGCCGGATGCTGTGGGGAGAAGGAAGAAATGGAGAAGTAGGGGGAGGGAAAGGATGTTCTCTAAATAGTACCTAGAAGAGCAACACAGTGATACAGCTCCTGATGCAGGTATCCATGAGGCAAATTGCCCCAGAGTATTATAACGTGTCATTTCTATGTCTGAGCCAGCCAGCTCCACTTCTTAGACTATGAAGTTGCACACAGTTGCAGCTAAAGTCCCCTAACAAACATCACTGGTGTAATTCCTTAATGAATTCCAGAGATGGCAGCTCTTGGAAGCTGCTTAAATTACATACTTTGCCAAAGAAAGGGTTTCCACCAAGAAAATAATCTGCTGCGTTTACATGACCTGTCTTCTGTTTCTTCTAGAAAAACCTTCCAAGCCCAAATGCTGGCTAGAAGGGGAGCTGTTGGAAGGAAAGGAACTGTCCTTGCAGTGCCGTTCTGCCTCTGGCACTGCACCCATCTCCTACCGATGGCAGCGCATAAATGAGGAAGACGAGAGAGCTGAACATCTCCCGCCTACATCAAGAGTCAGTAAGTCAGGTCATTTCCTCTTAGAATTCTCAGCACGCTCAAAGCCAGATAGCCGCCCACACGTACGTGCGTGTTGAGAGTCAAGTGCCTGCTTTTTAAATGGGGATTACTTGGTGGCAGTGATAGCAACGATATAACAGTACCTCTCCCTACTGCAGCTGGACTTTGTGGTGTGCTCCACCCTGAACAAGGAAGCGCGTGAAGAGTTTGTTTAGCGTTTTGCTGAAGGCTGATAAATGATCTTTTGTGAGGCGTCATTGATTGCTCTTGAACTGATTTGATCTGGAAGTTCAATTTATGCTTCTGTGTCCTATCCGCTGTTAAGGTTTCTTAGTCTTTTTGGATTAATCCTGGTGGCGTTTCTCCCGTTTCAGACATTTCTAATCCTGGGCAAGTCCTACTGAAGAATCTTACACAGACGAGCACAGGATTATACCAATGCATTGCCACCAACGAGGCTGGACAAGAAAGCTGTGTTGTTCAAGTGACAGTGCAGCGTAAGTATCGGCACATAACTAGTACTTGCACCACTGTATAAAGCAGTGCTGCTTCACAGCTGTCTCATCTTGACTGGTAAACTCTGTGCCATGCCTTTGCTCTCTCTTACTTGAATCACATGAAGTAGCCCATATTTATCACACTTACGGTTTGTACAGCAGTCCTTTGTATAACCAGAAGGGGTAAATACATTATTTGGGCTCAGATGTTTTCATCTGTTAGAAATTTTGATTTTGAGAATGACTAATGAAAATATGAGGGGAAAAAAACTGAGTGAGATGTTCCAGAGTCTCCAGCTTTTGAGGTACTTCTGGGTGGAGTGATTGCATGAGATCACTCTCAAGCATAAAACCTTGGTGTGGATATTCCATCATTCCAATTCCAATTCTCTCGCACTTGGGACAGTGAACTATCTAAAGGCAGCTGGAAAGGCTGACTTTGTCATGAAATGGTGTGCAGAATAAAAAGCAACTTTTGACATAGTTTGGTTTTAATCTAGATTTAATAAATCCTGTCCTGAACACCAGAGATTAAAATCAGTGTCCTACCTGATTAACACCAATAAGAGTGTGTGCATGTCTAGGTACCTATGTCCTTTGCATATGCATGCAAGGAAAAGGGTGGAGTTTAGCACCAGCATTGAGGACAAATCCAAATAATACAGTTTAGCAGGTTTTTATGTACAGCTCTCAGGGAAGGTCAGCAGAAGCTGGAAGTGCTGTGATAAAGGACTGCTAGTAGAGAAGTCTCTTGGAGGTTCCATAGCTTTGGAATTTTTCTGCCCAGCCAGGCCTGAAATAACTGGAATATGGTCATGTAGCAAGGAAAACCTGTCTGCCTCAGGCATCTGAAGTAAAAGCGTCCAGGCAGCTTTTATGCCAATTGAACTGAATTGGTTTAAAAACCTCACTTTGGTTTGCTAAACCCTCCATAGGGACAAGCCTTACAGAAACAACTTTCAGCCAAACCCAGTCTAACCACTCTTATCAAAAGAGTTGTCATAAAGTATTAACTAAGGGCCCATATACACTAGGAAGTATCCTTTCATTAACTTTGTTATTTTGGATGAAAAATGCCTTACACCTGCACAATATGGTCTTCCTTTCCTCCTTCCTCTCTACCGCCCTCAGGTCACTTTTTCCCCCAGTTGAATAATTCATTCTGCAAGTGGATTGTAATCATTTCAGGGTGAGTTGACGGGGAAGAAAAATCATCATGGGGAAACACTCGTAGTTCAAACACTCTTCTGCCTCTAGCAAACTGCCTGGTGCTTTGTTTCGCAAGTGGGTTGTCCTGTCCGTCTCTGTATTTTCTGTGGTTCTGTGCTCTTATGAGAGGATTTTCCCTCCTCATTGCAATTCTGACCGATAGCTGAAGGCATAACACTTGTGATCCCACCCTTCCAGAGGTAAGTACTTATCCCGCTGTCAGCTCAGGTTTAGAAACAATACTTGAAGATAAACTGGTTCAACTTCTGTGTGGAGACACGCCTAAATAAGTAGACTAATACATTCTGTTCTGATTTATACCCAGTGCTATAAGTTGTAGTGTGGACTAGAATCTGACCATATGACCCTAGTGAGAGTTTAGTGACTAACATGTTTGTTTTCTGGACAACAGATGCACAAAATATCGGCATGATTGCTGGAGCTGTTTGTGGCGTGGTGGTGGGACTTTCCCTCCTTTTCCTGGTGGTGAGGCTGACAATCAGGAGGAAAGAAAAGAAGAGATATGAGGAAGAGGAGGCACCAAATGAAATCAGGTAACGCCTTTTATTTAATCCCCCACCTCCCACCCTCCCTTCTTTCAATTTCACACATCTTTTCACTACAGTTTTAAGTAACCTAGGTATAAGTGTCTTAAAAGGTTGTTCTAAAAAGCTTTTAAAGTCTCCCTGAAATATCAGTGACACATTTCTTGAATGTGAGAATCTTTGTGAAGACTTTCCAGAAAATTAGATAGATGATAATGTCTTCCCCCTTTCTCCCCCCCCCCCCGCCCCGGACAAATTAGCATAAAACTCAACAAAATATTTTCTCTCATGCTTGCAATTTCAGCATTTAAAAGCATTTGCATAATCCTCTCCAGTACTAAATTCAACCCACTTGTCCATTGTGGTTCTGAGAGGTTTGTTGGTTTGGTTTGGGTTTTTTTCCTTTCCAATTGCAATTTCTGTTGGGAATGCTATGAGGCAGGCAGGTTCTCACAGTCTTTCTTGAGTCTTTTGAACAACTGTGCTTCTGGATTTAGCTCAGGGTGAAAAATCCCCTGAGCTGCTGCGTGCAGAGCTGAGAAGCCTCACCCTGAGCGGGTGTACCAAGAATGCTGACGCATGTTCTTTAAACTCATCTGTTACAAGCATGTGAGGTCTGCCACTTAACTCCCCTAAGCAGAGATTGGTCTCTAGCCAATGGAGCCTAAACTTCTCAGGAAGGAAAGTGCTGGGAAAAGATATTTCCAGGAATGAGTTTTAGCTGCTCTTGCCCTTGAAGAAACCCCTTGCCTTGCTCCATCCTTATGTCTATTTGTAAAAGACTGCCTGCCCTTGTACGACATCTGTGTACCATTAGGCATCTCTATAATCCATTCAGCAGCTGATTACTCTGATGGTCAGGTTGCCAGCAAGAAGGTAGTCTCTGCTGATTTCTTCCCTTCTCTTTTCCCTGTTCTCTTTGCTTTCAAATCTTGCATGCCTTTTCATTTTTAGTTTGAGCTTCAGCCTCTTCTATCACCTTTTTATGCATGACTGTTAGCTCTTCTCTTTCTCTCTGGGCCCACTTCTCACACTTCTTTCAGTACCCACATTTTTTTTAAAACTAGAAGAACTGGTCTCAGCTAGTCCTAAGTCATTTGTCATTATGAGTAAGGATTACAGAGCAGACAGTTCTAGCTGAACTGTTTGCACTGACCCTTGGCATTCGTTCCACAGACCTCAAAGCCACACACAAAGAGCCAGTCGTGTGCAGCATGTACTCTAAATCCATTTGACCAATAGCTCCGCAGAGCAATAGGGAGCTCAGTCCACAAAGTTACGCAGCACAGAATTCAGAAAACCCTGTACCTTGCTCAAACTGCTAGACAAATATGTCCTGGTGATTTGCAGCTTCAATAAGCAACTCCTTATTGCAGCAGCAATTCCGCCTGGTAAAATGTATAAGCGTTTCTGTTCCCGTATTTGAGCCCTGTCCTGTTTGATTGCAGAGAAGATGCAGAGGCACCCAAGGCCCATCTTGTCAAGCCCAGTTCCTCTTCATCTGGTTCCAGGAGCTCACGCTCAGGTTCCTCCTCAACCAGGTCGACAGCCAACAGTGCCTCTCGCAGCCAACGGACTTTGTCAACGGAAGCTACTCCCCACCTAACTCCTCCCCAGTACAGCCAGAGGGAGACGGAAGGAAAAGAAATTGAGCCAAAGAAAGTCGACTATGCTAACCTGATGAAAATGGGAGCAACGCTGGTCATGGTGCCTGCCCAAAGCCGAGCGTTCCAGACCGTGTGACTGCTCACCAGCTGTCTGGAGACTCCTGCTGTCCAGAAACACTTCACGTACCACCAGCCACATAGGAATTGTTAGATTAGCTAGCTATCTTTCTGGTCAGCTTAATTTTAATCACTTGTGATTATTCACACCACAAGAAGCCCTCCCACTCAACTCTTTCTTACATCCTCCAGCACGGAGGTTCTGATACAGAATTTCTTTTTTTTTTTAAAGAAAGATACCTTTGAGGGAAAAGGGAGCCTTCTTTTTAAATTATCTTTTTTGGAAGTGGAACACTGAGCATTTTAAAACTACAACAGCTAAGTGCTGTACAAATGAAATTAAGCCAAACCTCAGGATTTTTGAAAAGGGATCAACAGAGACATAAAGATGCATAATATTCCAGAGAGGTTTTGTGGGGAGGGAAAAGTCTCTTGTACTGGTTGCGGAGAACTTTCTCAAAGATGCATTGTCTTATCTGAAGATTTTGAGGCAGACTCTGCTGAGGGTAGTCTGATGTTCAACCTCAAAGGGAACTGACAGACGCTTCATGTTTTCTGCATTCAGTCTTCTAGTGAAATACTTCTGAAGGCTGTAACTAAAGTGGAAATGAAAGGATCACTCAAAAAGGTCAAGAGATGCAGTATTAAGGCATGTGTCTGAACTAATCTCTGTACTAAAGACAAAGGACCCTTAAATGTCAAGGCAACAGAGGTGCTTTAATTGCCAGAATAAACTTAATGATGCACCCAGAGAGATACGGCCAGGAGCCTGACTCTGCTTTTATGGTCAGCACTGCAAAGCCGCAGTAACTCCACTGGAGTGGTATCTGTGGCAAATGAGCCTTAGTCTGATGAGAATTGGGCACTGAATCCAGAAGGAAGGCAGTACCTCCAAAAGCGAGGGCCACTAATCTACCACAAAGCCTGGATGAAGCATTTGGAAGATATCTTTGCTATTGCCAGGTTGTGAATTCACCAGTTTTGGGGTGAGCCATGCTGTAGAAGCCTTATGGAGAGCTCTTCCCAAGACTGAATGAACAGCATTCTTGAGCTGACCTTCAGGCATCCAGGTAAGATTGAAGGATAGAGTGACAGAGCACATAGTGAGGAAAATACACCAGGGACAGGGAAACGAGCACAATGCTGCTTCCATTAGAAAATATTTGTGTGCGTTGTCCCATTTATACATCAAACGCTGGGCCACATGCTATTGTTGAGGCTTAAACCTTAGCAAGACTCTTAAAAAACTGCAAGAATCATAAAATATTTTATGTGATTAAATTAACCAGAATAAACATTTCCAAGGAATATAAAGTCTTACACTTCAAGTTGAAGGCCAACAGGAAACGATGGGAGGTAGGGACTCCAGAGGCTTCCTCTGGAAGCAGATGTTCACATAATTCTGTCATTTATATTTTCCTCTGAAGAACTTGGCTCTGACCACTACTACACACAAGACACTGAGCTTGTAGGTTCTAGATTCCTGTATTCCTGGACTGATGATTTTCTATTTAAAAAAATGAGGTGTGGGGGTTTTTTTTTATTTGAGGGAGGGAAAGTTTTCTGCAATTTGTGGAATGAGTCTACAGGAGATGGATCAGCACAGAAGAACCACAGATCTGTAATTCTTTCACTCCAGGAACTGTAATTAATCTACTTTTCTGACTGAGACCCAGAATGCTAGCTTCTTTGCTTGAGATATTAGACAATCTGAGCAAAGCCAAGCCCTGCTTGGGCTACTTCCTTATGGGAAATAGTTTTCAGACTTGCCCGATACTATCTGAGAACTTCTCTTCTTAGGAGCAGTCACCCATTTTCATCACATGTACCAAAACGTCACTTGCTCTCTCTACCCCAGAGTCAACCTATCCACCCTTGGCAGGACAAAGTACTGATCTGTTGTGCAGCTGAGTCACGGATTTGAAAAAAAGACACATCTGGTATTAGGTGTTTGATAAGCTTCTACTTTTGTGACAGCTCCTGGTGTTGGATACTGTGTCATTTTACTTACACAGTTTCCCTGGATACTCCAGAGGCACATTCCTGGATCAGCTGTGTTTTGGTGGATTTGGTGGTGGCTGTCACTGTTGGGAAGCAGCAGCTCTAAGTGTCTGTGATTCCTCTGCAGTTGCTCTTTTCCTGGACCCCGAAGGCTTAGGCACTGCAGAATGCTTAAAAGGTACTCCAGAGCTGGGAAAGTCCCAAACAGCATAAGCAGGACTGCTAAAGTAGTTTGTGGCTTTTTCTGTGGTTGCTTATTTCACTTAATGTTACCTGTGTTGCATCTGAGGAAACTTATTCTATGCATATAAAAACAGGAGCACTTTTCTCAGTAAAGAATACATGCCTGAGCAACCAGAAGCTTATTACCACAAAGTAAGGGTAACAATTCAAACAGTTGAGCTGGCTACAGTCCGAATACCAAATGCTGTAGGTTAGCTTTGAGTCACAGGCCAGACTTGCAATTAGCAAAGAGGAGGATGCTCTGTCTACAGCCTAGAAGCCACTTGCTGCCGGCTAGGAGAATTTGCCCAGCCTGCTCCTGGCAGTCTCTTTCCTGGAGGCCTTTGGGAATCAGCTGCAGGATAGATCAGCTCTGGCAGCCCTCTCCTGGTCTCCAACTCTCCTGGAGCAGAGAAGTCACTCCTTATCATATGAGCTATCTGTCTGATTGCATGGGATGAAAGGTATATGGACCTTGGGGAAAAGAAGTTAGTTGGAAGCAATTGCTGAAGCCTGGTGTGTGTGATCGTTCCAGGCTGTTCCTAGCCCTGTTGGGAAGCAGGCGGTACACGCGCCCATTGCCCAGGCATGCCCGCTGTGTCAGAAAAAGCACTGTGGCCGTCTCCTGCCATGGAACAAAGGTGCAAAGATGCGTGGTCCTGGTTAAAAAATGTGGGCACCGTGGTGATTTAAAATCACTAAGTCTGAAATGCTGCGGTGCTTTTCAGACTAAACATCAGTGATCTTGCAGGTGAACACAAAGTCAATTCTGCACTTCAGTTGCTAGCACGAAGCCCAAAGGGAAAAGTTCATTACTCAAAGGAAATACAAGAAAGGGATCATTTCAAAGGTATTCTGTTTTCAAAGGGACATTTTCTGAGCTCCGGATGATAATATCAGGAGTTGCACAAGGGAAGCAAATGAACCATAAGCCAAACTCTGTTTTGTAAAATAGTGTACTTAAAGCATTTACTGTCATATACCAGTTATTACTAGTGTGATTAAATGCATACAATGTTATGTAGCTTTCTTTCGTTTCTCAGCAGCTAAACTAAGCTTACATCTCTTCTACCTGCTATAATTGGTGTACTTGTACTGTGTCTGAACAACTCAGAGGAAAGCAAATATTTATTATTGATTCCTTTGAATCAATGATTTCGTAATTTTTTTTTGTTGTTGGTTGTTTTATAAATAAATGTGCTGCAGCTGAAGTGCTGCAGCTCAACTAAACTTGTACTAATGTTCCATCTTCTGTGGTATGATGTGTTACATGCTGTCAAGCAGAATCCAAGGAAAAGAAGTATGGAGTCAAAAATACCATTTTTGTGACTACATGCATATCTGTGTAGAAAGTGTGGGGAAGCTGGTCTTTTTCCTGGGTATTTTTTCAGTCTGAATTATGTGACATGGTATGAAATATGTGAAACCTTAGGTGTACTGAAGTAAATGGCATTTTGACTTCCATGCAGCTATTTCACCTGAGGTATTTTGGCTGAGGATGTAGATGCTTCAAGCTAGTATGGTTAATAGTGCCAGCATAGACACGGCACAGATACAAAACTCCAGTGACACTGCACTCCCACATCTGTGACCTTACTTCTGAACCAGCCGCTGAGTTTCAGTTCATCTCCAGAACTGGGCGTGAGATGACAATGAAACCTTGAACTGTGTTCAGACAGTTTAGATCTTCTCTGCAGATAAACATTTTTAACTAGCTAACAGGAATCTCCGGTCAGGGAGATGTAGGCGGAATTTAGTGTAACTAAACATAACTGTGGTTGATTTCTCTTGGAGTGCTTCAGCCTTCTTTCCCTGGGGGTGTTTTGCGCAGAGGTCTCCCATCATCAGCCATCTTCTTTACTGAAATCTGGGAGTAAAAATTGCAACATAATTACACAGTATTTAAAACAAAACACAGTGACAACACAGTGGTCTCATAGGTGTGTCCTTCTGTCTGTCCCTGATTCATGAGGAAATGCTATTTACTGGCTCCCTCCTGAGTTGATGACATCCAAAATCCTGATTAGGTGATACGCATTTTGAGAGGAATTGTGCAATTGCATACTTTTGTACAGTATCAGGAATCTTGGGTTATTTTTCACCTTGATCAGTTTGTACTGACACACTGAAGGAGGAGAGCTTGGTGGGAAAGGGATGGGACTGCCATGGAAATGTGTGATTTTCAAACTTCAACCAGGGCATGCAGATCCAAGTGTTGTATAAATAACAAACACTTCTGTCGTGAATAGGAAGTGTGTCTTTGATACAATCTCCACTCTCTTCCCAATTCTGTTTTAAACACTTAAAGAAGCAGTGCTTGATGTCTAACGTGAGATCTCTAAATTGGCTTCAAAAAATAATGTTGGAATTCATCATTTGAAAAAACTCCACACACAGTACTTGTCAGTGTCCAGCCTGCTGAGCCTTAATTGTTCTGATATACAGTAAATGAGCTACTTTTGTCCAGTATGTTAACAGCCTTTAATTTCTAATGTAATGAGTCATTTGCAAAACTGCCCTCCTCCCTGCACTGACTCACTGTTGTTTTAGACTGCCTTCGCTTGCTATCAGTCTGTGGAGCAAAGTATGGTTGCACATCTAAATGTCACTGTTTAATTTCAAGGCGCAGGTAGTGCTATTCTTGGGTCCTACTGAAATTCTGCTCATGATTTAAAAAAACAAAATGCAAGCACAGTACCTTGCTAACAGCACGGCTCCTGTGAGACTTGGCGTGCAATGTATTCAGTGCAAGTTAGCAGTGCATTCCTGAGAAGCATCTCCTGTGTAGCCTGGGAGGTGAGTGCTCCAGCAGCGCGTACTCTGGACAGGGTGGAGTGTGCTTTGCATGCCATACCTGGTCAGATACAGGGTGATGGTTCATATTGACTGCCCTTATCTTTAAAGGCACAGGAGAGTGACAGCTAGTGCTCC